TATAGGAGACTTCACACGATTTATTCCTCGCTTTTATTATCCTTTCAAAATTTTTCTTATTTTTTTTTATAATTTTTCCTTTTTTTAACGGCCCACACATACGCTTAAAATTCGATCTTAATCTGTTAGTTACTGCCGTTAATGAACTTTAGACCCCAAAATCACACACAGTAAGCTTTGGCCGCCTGTGAAGGAACAAACGTTTGGTCGAGTGACTTAATAATTGTTTCGAAAAGAGAGAATTCGCTTACCTTGTGCTCTTCGTTTGCAGTCGTCCCACTCTTTTCTCTCCCTCTCGGCACCATCTTCCTGTTTTCTCTTCTTCCCAAACTCCTCTACTAGTTTACACAAATCTGGTTTCTCTACCTCGGTTGCTAAGGATTTCAGGATAGTGAGGTTTTCTATCCCCAGATTGTTCTGTTGTTCTAACTCTGTGAACAATGAGTTCAAGTTTAAGATACGTTCTTCTCTTTCATGAGCAATTAGATTTTGTCTTCTACAAATTGAAATGAGTCGTGGCAGTTCATTGGACTCGTCGAGTGCCCGACTTATCCGCTCCAGAAGCTGTTTGTAATCCTTTCTCTTCACTTCAAATCGCTCCAACAGTCGAAGAAGATCCCATTTTCTCAGCCCCTTAAGGAGTTCCTTCAATACATAAAGACGATCAATTTCAAGAAGATTATTTTCCTCTAACTTGGAAAGCAACGAAATAACGTCCGTAATATCGTCTACAGATCCATCAGGAAGAAACCCTTTGCAAATAAATATCATTCGTTCGCGTTCATTTTGCCAGTCGATCTCCTTGCTAAACTGATACAGCACATTACGGTATTCAACGACAGACATAACGGTGGCTTGAAATAAAAATCAATCGAAATTGAGACCGTGCATCGCTAGTCAACATACTTCGCCCGACTCTAAGTTGTTTCGTTGAGGTTACGCTTGGTGGTATTGTTACTTGACTCAATATTTTGTCACTCATTCTCCAACGAATTTACAATTAAGAAAAAAAAAATATCGGGTGGGGGTGTAGAGGCCAATTCGACTCTTTGAAATTGATTAAATTCCTAAAAGAAATCCGGCGTTTAGTTTTCAATTTTTCATGGAACAATTCGGAGATTTTCGCATTTGCAAACATGATCTTATAGAGGCCTTTAAAGAGGTTTTCACCATCAAAACCAACTGGCCACAACATCCTCTAGCTTTTTCTTTTCCTTCTCAACTATGCATTTTTATGAACGGGCGTAGTTTTTTAATCAGTTACTTTTGTTTGGCAATTAGTCATGGTAACAGACCCTTTCACGTTTACTTTTTTNGTCATTAGACAGAGAGGGGCCTGAGGCTAAAGTTAGGTCAAATTTGAGGTCAAAATCATTACCCAAAATTGCCATTTTTCAAAAAACCATAACACTCACCTGCCTTCTTACATAACTTTCATACCAAATCCAGTATGTACTTTAGTGACCCATTTATCAAAATCAGTTGAGAAAAATTTGGTTTAATAAGGTTTGTTAGGTTTTTGGCACAAACTCTCCATGCATCTCAAAGGCCGAGAAAAATGGAGTTTTCAGCATAATTCATGCTATAAACAGACCAAACTCTTGACATAAGGCCTTTATTTTGTATTAGGTGAGTGAAAATGAAACATTAAAGCCAAATCAGTGTCATTATTTTGAAATACCTCGACTCATAGCTTACAAATGCTCTAAGAAGGTCTCTGATTAGCACTACAAACACTTTGCGGTTTAACAAAAGAAAGTAAAGTAATAAATGAAAACCTTGTATCCATCATAGAGCAGAAATGACGATGTTCTGACCTAGTTGTGACAATATTTTTAAAGATGCTTGAATTTTCTCTGATCTATGTCTGTCAGGCCATATTTCCACACGTATTATATTCCAAGCATGCGAAGTCTCTATATTTTGTCAGGCCGTTTTTTACTTGAAAATAAAGTGATCTTAACCCGGCCTTAACCATTAAGCTAAGAATAAAACGATCGTTAAAATATGATCCACGTCTGACCTTTGAATAGGCTGAATAGCTCTAGCAAATAGCCATCACTAATATAAGCGAGCGCGACCGTGACTTGCGATCCACCAGAGATCTTAGGTACTTTAGAACTGAATAAATGGAACCTTCGAACAAAGAGAGAATCCACAGTCAGAAGAGCTGGATGACAAAATATTATTGTTGATGTTTAAATGAAATATTCCTCACGAGACATGAGTTGATGCCAATAGGACCCGCCATTTTGGACGTGAGAGTATTAGGCCTGGACCGAGTTTCCATCCCTCACCAATTCAAGCGTAAATGTTTGTGTC